ACTCCTTTTGCCACATAAGCTCCTTTGAAGGCATCTTCATTCTTCAAAATAGTCGAGATTGTCGACTTTGCCATCTTGTACTCCGAGACCAGATCAGTCACACGAACACTACGCTCATGCTTTTCTACAATTTCCTTCTTCAATTCAGTGGTTATTTTCTTAAAAACCTTCTTCTTACCATTCTTGCTCTGCATGTTCTTGTTACCTTCATTACCACTCTGCACATTCTGGTCACCTTCATTACTGCTCTGCATGTTCTGGTCACCTTCATTACCGCTCTGCACTTTCTTTTTACCACCATGCTTGCTCTGCACTTTCTTTGGAGTCATGCTGGGTTGAATAATACTGTACAGTACTGTATGTGCTAAAAACACACACAAAAAAGCTTCACAGCAAGTGTGCACAGGTCTGCCTGCAACTGTGAGCAGGGAAGATGGCCACATTCACAATTGTGTTTGTGCAGGAACATGGCCACAATCATGGAGTATGCGAATGGAAGCAAAATTTTACTGAACTTTCTGTTTGCAAACTGAATTGTTTGCAAACAAAAATGTTCGTGAACCAAGGTACCACTGTACAGGAGGAGGGCAGAGCAGACTGGAGCACACAGGATCAAGACAGGAACAAATTTGAGCAAGCAGTGGCAAACAGGACGAGGCAAGAACAAGGTTCAAGATGTGGTGATGCAGAGGACCAGAGCAGAAGAAAGTTAAGGCAACAATGTAAACTGCTGTGGCAAAGAGAAGTAGTACCAGGAAGCCTTTTATGCTAGTCTCCTGCAAAGGTGTTCCTGGTTCTTCAGGCACTTGCAGGGTCACTCAGGCTCTGTTCTTGATGCAGCTGACTGCACAATTAAGAACTATACAGTTTAATTGGCTTCAAGTGATACATTTTAAGTCTTACCTTACTATTCAGACCCAAATATCCCAGCCAGGTTTTGAATAGAAAATAGTCAATTCTGACACAAACAATGCAGTTTCCTTCAATAATATACAAATAGTTAGTTTCTCAATCAATAGGATCAACAGCAAGTGGGGGTTAAGCTGAGCAGGGAAATAGATTTAAATGAAGAAATAAGCATCAAGGTTTAGCATTTAGTTAGGCTTAAACCACTGAAATCAATCTCACAAAGTTATAGAGGAAAAAATTAAAGTAACACAAAGGTGGTCTCTAATCCTTCCCATACTACAGTGAACCTGTAGATTCCCTTTCTCTGATCTGTTGGCATAATAGTACAACCACAGGAGCCTATTTCCCTTTTTTAAAATAAGTTTTATTCTAAATAACCCTAATACAAAGCAAAACTAAAAACAACATCAATCATCAGAAACATCGGACCTGCTGGGTCAGCCCCCACATTTTTTATGATAACTTAAAAACATATGTGAATCTATACGAAGTCTCGTTTCTCTAGCCAATAAAAAAAGAGTCCCAGGTTTGATAGAAATCAGTATCTTTTTTCTCCTTCAAATACAAAGTCAATCTGTCCATTTCTGCACAGTCCAAGATCTTTTTTAGGATCAGTTCATCGGTGGGTGGTTCTTCACTTTTCCAGTGTTGGGCAAATGCAGTCCTCGCCACAGTAATTACATGTAAAATAAAGTACATTTCTTGTTTACTAATATCAATAGGTATAATGCCTAATAAGAAAACTTCAGGTTTAAAAGCTAAGGATTTTTGTAACATTTCCTCAAGCCATTTATGTATTTTACTCGAATACTTTTTTGCTTTATCACAAGTCCACCAGATATGATAGAAGGTACCCAATTTATGTTTACATTTCCAACATCCATTTGACATATTTGGAAACATCTTGGCTAGTCTATTTGGTGACAAATACCATCTATAAAACATTTTATACAAGTTTTCTTTATATGAAGTTGCTAATGTTACCTTAATACTTCTCTCCCACAGCTTTTGCCATTTTTCTAATTCAATATTATATCCAAAGTTTTGTGCCCACATTACCATAGTTTCCTTAACCTGTTCATCTTCCATTCTCCTATCTAGTAAGAAATTATACAGTCTTTTAATCATTTTCTCACCTGATTTAAGCATCATCTGATCAAATGCTGTTAAATCCTTATAAAAGCCCCACATTCTATAGTCTTTAGCATATCTCGATTGTATCTGCACCTTATGCCACCAAGAAATATTAGATCCTTGTTCTTGTATTTCTTGATTCAGTTTTAATCCTCCATCATTATCCAAAATATCATCATATTTCACGATCGTATCAAAATTCAATGCATTTGGATATACGAGAGCTTCCATAGGCAAAAGCCATCTTGGTAATTTAGTATACAGTTTTGTCTTTAACTTTTCCCACACCAACATTAATGATTTCCTAATATAATGACTTAAAAAAGAACCATGTACCTTACCCTTTTCATACCACATAAAAGCATGCCAACCCGTTTGCAAATCATGCCCTTCGAGATACAAGATTCTCTTATTTCTTAAGGTTATCCATTCTTTTAACCACGTTAAAACAGAAGCTTGATAATACAGCATCCAATCAGGGAGACCAAAGCCCCCATTCCCTTTAGCCTCCTGAAGTATTTTTAGTTTAATTCTTGGTTTCTTCGTTCTCCATATAAATCTTGAGATTTGAAAATTTAAATTATCAAAAAATCTTCTATCAATTTTTATGGGAATCATTTGGAATAGAAACAAAAGCTTTGATAATACATTCATTTTAGCTAGTGCTATTCTTCCCAGCAAGGATAATTGCAAATTAGCCCATTTTTCAAAATCACTCTTAATTTCCTTAAATAGTTTATCATAGTTGTCTTCTTTCAGAGTGGAGGAGCCTATTTCCATATAAGGTGGAAATGTGAGGAGGTCTTTCTATTCTGGCAGATTATACTTGATAAATATAAAGCAACTACAAATATCCCAAACATGCTACATGCTACGCTACACTATTTTGGGAAAAATGATACAGACTACCTGTGTACAGTGGTGCCTCATAGTTTGAACGACTTTAATTTCCTATGATCCAGAGTTTGAATGTTAGAGTCAAGGTAAAATGGCTATGCAGTTTGAACAATGCTTCTAAGTTTGAACTGTAAGTGAAGTGAAAAATGCAGTTGCAGCGAAAACATCATCAGTTGTGTGCCCAAGTCAAAAAAAAAAAGCCTCAGTGACCTGAATTGATTTGTCTTGAATCAATTTGTCTTGACTTGAATTGATTAGTCTTGATTTTTTTCGTCTTGTCTTGACTTGAATCCATTCTTCTTGAATCCATTCAGGACATTGAGGCAGCAACAACAGCTCTGAGGTAAGTGTGTTCAAAGCAAGGAGGAGTATTTTGAGGAAGATTAATGTCAATGTGTCTTTCACTGTAATTTTTAAAATTTATTTAAACATACACAGTACATTCACAGTACACAAACATTTTTTTATCACACCTTGTATATAACCTCGAACTTAATTCATCTCAGGAAGCTGTATTTGCTGTTTGAGTTTACAGAAATTGGTACTCTAGGGTCTGGGAATAGATTAATTCACTTTCCATTATTTCTAGTGGAAAAAATTGCTTCGAACTTTGAAGGATTCATAGTTCAAACAGCTTCCTGAAATGAATTAAGTTTGAAGTACAAGGCACCTCTGTAATTCTATTCATAACAGTTACCATGAGAGAAGTTATTGCTTGGAACTGGAAGGCAAATTACTCAGTATTATATGAATAATGGAACCATATTATGTATTTAAGCTTATATAATAAACAGTGAACTCTATGGAATCTAATTTTACCTATTGTTTACTTTGTTAGGAATATTTTTAATAAAAGTATTTTTTAAATGGTATAAATCAGTTTTGTTTTGCCTTGTCTTAGTTGTATGTGGTTCAAGCCATTAGTTGTTTCCCTGGAAAGGCTTTCTTTTACTGTATTAAATGCTGTCTAACAAATAAGCATCACAGAGTTGAAATTGTGTGTTTCTTGAAGTGCTTGTTAAGGCATTTGAGCAGCAAAGAGTTTGTAAATGTAGCAGAAGTGTTTACTTTGTTGAACTTTGTAAACCCGTTTGCCCAACATTGGAGGAGTGAAGAACCACCCACTGATGAACTGATTTTAAAAAAGATTCTGGACTGGACTGAAATGGACAGGCTGACTTTGTCTCTGAAGGAGAAAGAGGATACATACGTGTATCAAACTTGGAACTCTTTTTATTATTGGCTAGAGAAACGGGACTATGCATAGATTTGAATATGTCTATGATTGCTATAAAAAAAATTAGGGGGCTGACCCAGTAGGTCTGATGTCTCTGATGATTGGTGTTTTTAGTTTCCTTTTTTAGTTTGTAGAAAATAATAATAAAATTTACTTTAAAAAAAGAACTTTGTAAACCTGTAAACTTACCCACTTACAAACTTCTGCGATTTCAGCAGTGGTTTATGCAACAATCAGGTTACTTGCTGTACTGTAATTGCTGGAGTTTGTGTTTTAGCATTTAAATTTGGAATTGCACATTTCAGTAATTTTGAGCCAGTTGGCTTCTCAGTTGCAAACTAATATTAAACAACTCTTTCCTGCACATTGATCGTCTGTCACCTTATGGGGTGAATTCCAGTAATGCTGAAAAAGACTCATGGCAATTTTTGTATTGGTCTTCCACAACTTTTTGTATTGGTCTTTCATGTTCCAGGTAGGCCATGGCCACTGGGGGTGGGTGATTTGCCAAGTGATAATTATCGAGGGGAGCATCTTTAAGTTAAAGCATCCTTAATGTAGAATCTTTCCATGTTAGTACTAGTGATCAAAATGCCAACTTAAGTTTCCTAGCCATTATCATTCACCTATGCTTAACCTTGAACATTTTGTGAGAGGAAGGAGAGAAGAGGATGAATTCTTTTTTGCTTATTTTCATAATAGGCTTCTTGTGTGGTTTGCGTGTATAAACAGCCCCTTAGTCACATTGTGAGCAGCTTGCATAGATGTTGGACATACAGGGTTGACTGTGTTTGATCTTACGTCAAGTTTCTATGCCTTGCAGGAGCAATCATGGGTCAAACCGGAAAGAAATCTGAGAAAGGACCAATTTGCTGGAGGAAGCGTGTCAAATCAGAATATATGCGACTTAGACAACTCAAGAGGTTCAGACGGGCAGATGAAGTAAAGGTAACTAAGACACCTAATGCCAATAATAAGGTATTAAGATGACTCTTATTTAGATTTATGTGGTTTAATACGATGTTGATAAATGTTTTATCATGTACTTGAATATTGCTGCGTATATTGGTTCTGAGGAAAAGTCACTATTACAGCATTTAGTAATATAATGAAGTTCACTTTATCTGAATTTCAGCAATTGCTCATGTTAAAGTCTATTTAGCTGCTTTCCGCTCAACATTACCTTCTATTTTGGAAAAACTTCAGTATTGGCCTTGGAAGAGATGTTGCACATACATAAAGTACAGAGTTTCTACTGCTTTTGTTGCAGAAGTTGGATTCTTATGGCAGAATAGTTCAGATTCAAACAGTCCATTGAGAGGGTTTGACTTTGAGCAGCAGTGCTACTGCACTGCACATTTGAAAGTCTGCTCAGTTTCAAAAGTGGCCACTTACGTGACATTCAGGGCTGCTGTTGTAAAATATTAAACTAGTTATCTGATAAGGTTCTGCTCCTGGATATGCTTTTCTGGTCACAAATGGTTACTCAACCTGATGCTTGGAAATCTCCCTCCCCGTTTTCCCCTCAGACCTCTGTTCATGCTTTTGTGTAGCTTTTTCAGAGAGTTACATGAACCACTATGTAGAGGAGTGGCTAGGGAAATTCACTTCTGCCAGCACAGTTAATCGAGTTAATCTGGATTTAACCTCAGAGAATTTATTATAATGCTTTCATCATTTAAATGCATGTATGTGTTCATTTTAATGCACTAAATAGTGAGTATGATTCTCTGAATTGTTATACTGAGCTCAAAAGGTTAATATGATCCATAGTATAGATTACTTAAATTTAATTCATGTCAGTAGTGATACTTTATACAATATACATTTTCTAAATGCTCAAAGTGCTTCATACACACTGTGGGATTATTCAGGGGGACTGCGTATATATAGTCATTTTTCAAGATCTTCTTTCAATAGCAGCACTGTCTTCCTTTCTGCACTGCACTTCCCCGTCCATTTTCTTTGCACACCAGTTAGTATTGCTATGCTGGTTTGCTGCCTGTAGCATTTACATACTGAAGTATGATTTCATATTTCACAAGCATAAATTTTGTGCATAGCTTCCTTAGCACTTGCACTTTACTTTGCGTCATTCATATGGTTTCTGTGCCTACACAGAACTCTGACAGAATTCTAGAGTAGAGAAGTTTTACCATGCATTGCTGAAATGTTGAGGTCTTACTTTTGCTCAGCTTTTTGACAGCAGTAGCATCATAGGAAACATAGGAGAATTCAACTGACTTGCATTCTCACTGAGTTCCCTTGACATAACCCACCATGGCTTATAAGTCACAGTGAGTTGTGTTGTGCAAATCCATGATCGATTTTTTAGGGTAGCTTAAATTTAATTTATAAGCCATCATGACAACCCATGGATTTTAGTAGGGATTGTTTCACCCACAATGGAGTTTTGAGTCATCTAAACCTGGATGGCACAAACCATTCTTGGCAACAGCAGCAAAATCCCTTTTGGGGCACTAGGTGGTCCCTGGATTCCAATATGAGGGAATAATTCTTTGACAGCTGAATTGAACTGTGAGATTGTAAAACCTCTGTTATTCAGATAGAAGTTGGAAGGGTTTAAAAAGACTTTTCAGGCTGGAAATTGTACAGGTATTACATAGTGTAGCTTATCATGTTATTTCAATTCAACCACTTGCTTTGAGTTTTATTTATCTTTCCACCGTTCTGATTTGTATTTTTAATTTACTTACATTGTTTTGCAATATGTCATTTGCCTTATGGCTCTGAAGGCCCTGATTTACAGGACCAGTTTTCCCCCTAGAAGCAGGCATTGATTTGGGGTGGAAAATTTTCTGATGTTATATTTTTCAAAGGAAAGTTTTCAACACATGTATATCTGTGTCTATCCTTAGTTGCCTGTCCTGTTATCATTATGTTAGATGGGTTAAATACAGTATATGAACATCATTAAATTGTTCTTCTAAGGCAGGGGTTGGCAACCCGCGGCTCCGGAGCCGCACATGGCTCTTGAATCCCTCTGCTGCGGCTCGGTTGCTCAAAACATGCACCGGCACAGCCGCCGATCTGCGACCGAGGCTCCGAGTTACAAAATACCAATAGGTGACGATGAGGCATCAACTCAGGAAGGCTGCGCTAGCTGGTTAAGTAAATTGCTACATTCCTCTGCTATTGTGTAGGGAAAGAGTGGAACAAGCTTCCTGCAGGCTCTCATGTTACACGAAACGCTGCTGAAATGATTCTCTTTGTCCAGGTGTAATCTCCTTCATCTGAATGTTAAAAGCTGCGCTTGGGACCTGTCACAATTCATATCACTTGACTGTTTATCTGCTAATCGGTCCCTAAACACACCTATATCTGCGACCCGTACCGATTTACTGAGCTTCCCCCCTCCCCCCAGGCCAACCATAGATAAATCGAAGAAAAGTTTCTGAAGAAAACTGAACGTTTAATGGTACATGGGTAGATTCATTTGCTTTTACTGCTGACAAACTTATGGAGTTTGCTGTTCAATGCACGCAGCCCTTTAGCACTGACTTTGACTCTTCAGGAAGCTGTTCTCCTATTCAAACTATATGAAAAGAGTCCTACTAGTTTATAATGTAAGATTAAAAATAACAGTTTTTAGTGACTGAACAAGAGCTGCAGCTAAATCATAATGAAGATATACATAGCATTAAGGTAAAAAACGATACATGCAGTGTTATCTTCATTTTAGATGTCAAAAAGTTTTTGCAGTTCCCGGTGTTTTCTTTTGTGTGGAAAACGGGTCCAAATGGCTCTTTTGAGTGTTAAAGGTTGCCAACCCCTGTTCTAAGGCAAGCACTGACAGACCTAGTGCTTAGCTGCTTATGGGGGATAAATAAGGTATGGCAATTCTTTGCAATGCATATTTTATTTGGCTCTTGGCTCACCCTGCATCAGACCTCTTCATGGTGTATTTGCTCCCTGTTGTTAGTGTTCTTCCATATCAAACTGAAGGAAAACTGAATTAGAGGAAAATTTTAATTATTGTTTGTTTCACTTAAGAACAGAGCTGTATTGGATCAGACAAAGGGTCCGTTTTAGTCCAGCATTTTGTTCACACAGTTGCCAGCTATTTGCCCATCAGATCCCATAAGCAGGCACAACTGCAGCCACATGTCCAAACTCCTCAACCTTTGCCCAAAGACCTCTATTCTTTTTTAATTTTCTCATATATTAATCAATAAACAGAAATGATTTTCATAACTTACACAAGAATAACCAAGAAAAATATTTTTTCTTCAAAACAGTTAAAACTACAAAATAACAAAGAAAGAGCATCCTTCCAGCAGGACCGTTGGTGATGCACCAGGCCGTTTGGTCAAATGTTAAATCATTTGTCCTCTCAGGCGGTCCCGTCCCCCTTCCAAAACTGCATTGAATCTTGAGAACTTTCAAAACACTTCCTTTTATTAATGCATACTCAATAAACGGTTCCCAAATATCATCAAAATTACTCATATTTCACTTTCATATCAAGTTAACATCATTAATAGCTATATTCCGAACTACTCTATTGTTGTTGCTAGTCGCAAAGTTTTGCCCGACCCATTGCTACCCCATGGACAACATTCCTCCAGGCCTTCCTGTCCTCCATCATCCCCCAAAGTCCACTTAAGCTCATGCCAACTACTTCAGTGCCTCCTTCTAGCCACCTCATTCTCTGCCATCCCCTTCTTTTGCCATCAGTTGTTCCCAGCATTAGAGTCTTCTCCAGGGACTCCTTCCTTCTCATTAGGTGGCCAAAGTATTTGAATTTCATCTTCAGTATCTGGCCTCTTAAAGAGCAGTCAGGGTTGATCTCCTCTAGGACTGACTGGTTTGATTGCCTTGCAGTCCAAGGAGTTTTCTGCAGCACCACAATTCAAAGGCCTCAATTCTTTGGCGCTCAGCCTTCTTTATGGTCCAACTTTCACAGCCACAAATTGCAACTGGGAAAACCATAGCCTTGACTATACTCACTTTTGTTGGCAGGGTGATGACTCTGCTTTTTAGTCTGCTGTCTAGATTTGCCATAGCTTTCCTCCCAAGGAGCAAGGGTCTTTTAATTTCTTGGCTGCAGTCCCTGTCTGTGGTGATCTTGGAGGCCCAGGAAAGTAAAATCTGTCACTACCTCCATTTCTTCCCCATCTATTTGCCAGGAAGTGATAGGACCAGATGCCATGCCATGTCTTTCTGGTGCTACTAGTACTAGCCCTCTGCTCTTCCCCAGTAGCACATTGGACACAGTCCGACCTGAGGGAATCATCTTCCGGCATCATATCGTTTTGCATTTTAGTACTGTCCATGGGGTTGTCATATCAAGGGTACTGGAGTGAGTTGCCATTTCCTTCTCCAGTGGATCACATTTTGTCAGAGCTCTCTGCTATGACCTGTCCGTCTTGGGTGGCACTGCACGGCATAGCTCATAGCTTCATTGAGCTACGCAAGCCCTTTCGCCACGACAAGGCAATGATCCATGAAGGGGGAACTTCTCTATACCAGTCACTTAATTGATAGCATATTTTTCCCACTTGTTTGCTATCATTAATCTAACAACTGTTAATAAATTTGTTATTAATTATTTAATATTCTGTAGATATTAAAGACCCACATCTAATCATTAGTGAAACAGAATGTTCAATTAATTGTTCTCAGCTTGAAATGGAACTGATAAGCAGTGCAGAGAGTGAGTGAAGCTGAAGTTGCTACACCTACCTTAGCAAAAAACAAAAACTGTTGATATATTAGCTCTCTTTGAATATATGACTTATAAAAGGGTTCTTTCAGGTGCAGTCATTTTTTGTTAAGTACAAACAAACATCCTATTGTCTTTACATATATTCCAGTAAAAATCTACATAAAATTTTGAATTTGTTCAACTGTAATATTAAACTATTTTGTGTTGTTAATTTCCCCATAAGCAAATATTTCAGTTCTAATATTTTATAGCATATGAAGAAAAAGTTGATATATTTATACTGCACATAAAATTGATGTGTATTACATTTTCAGTTCTGTTTACTAACTATGGGATGTTTTGTACGCTTATTGAGGGAGAATCTGCATTAGGGAGTAAAAAATGAGTTAGGTAAATAAGCTAAACCAGATACATATTATTTAGAACTTTGGAACATTTTCTCAAAAAATGTCCAGTTGTACTTTTATGGAAAACCCACTTCACTCACTCCAGTTGTACCTTTGTGGAAAATTCACTCCTTTGGGGAAAAGATGGTAATGTCAATCACCTGCCTTAGGTGATTACAAAATCATGATGAAACTGGTCTTTCAAACTTTGAGTGCTCCCCAAAGCTGTGGACTCTGTGGCAGAACTGGAATGTGCTCCCCAGAGAGGTCTGCCTGGCACCGTCGTTACTTGTTTTTCAGCACCAGGCCAAGACCTTTTTATTTAAACGTTATTTTAATTGTTGATTGTATTTATTGATTTTATATCTGTGCCGAGATGTTTCCAGATTTTTAAGGTAATTGTAAGATTGTTTATTTGTTTTGGAAGCTGCCCCGAGGCTTTTTGCGAATGAAGCGGCATATAAATGTTCCAAATAAATAAATTATTGTAGTTCTCTGACAGTTGGCCTGTATGTTGCTATTTCATAGAATAATTGAGTTAAACGGGGCTAAGAAGCCCATCAAATCCAACCTCCTTCTCAATGCCAGACTCCAAGTTAAATTATCCCTGGCAGATGGCAGGACAACTGCCTCTTCAATGAGGGAGAGCCCATGACCTCCCTGGTTAACTGTTTTCATTGCCATACTGTTCTAAAAGTCAGAAAGATTTTTCTTAATTTCTAGCCAGAATCTGGCTTCTTGTAACTTAAGCCCATTCTTCCACATCCAGCACTCTGGGATGATTAAGAAGGGATCCTGGCCTTTTTTTCAAGTATTTGAAATATGCCATCATCTCTCTCCTCAGTCTTCATACTCAAGATGGGATCTAACAAGTGAAAAATAGTGGGGAACGAGTAACTCACATGATTTAGAAGTTATGCTTCTATTAATGCAGCCCAATTTGTATTTACTGTAGTTACATCAGATTGTTGGCTCATATTCTGCTTGTGATCTACATCAGTTAAAAGATCCTTCTTGCTTTTAGTATTGCTGAATGAAGTATCTCCCATTTTGTAACTATTCATCTAGTTACTTTTTCCTAGATATAGAACTTGGCATTTGTCCCTAGTGAATTTCATTCAGTTGTTTTCAAGCTAGCACTCCAGCCTATCAAGATCATTTTGAATTTTGTGTCTTCCTAGCTATCCCATCCAATTTGAATCATCTGCAAATTCAGTTAGCATTCACTCTTCATTCAAGTCATTAATAAAAATGCTGAAGAGTTCTGGGCCCAGGACTGACCCCCACAGTACTCCACTCATTTCCTCTCCCCTGTCTGAGATGGTATCATTTATGCACACTCTTTGATGTGCATTCTGTAGCCAGTAATGGATCCAACTGATTGTTGTTCCATCTAGTCCACTTTTAGCTAGTTTCATAATCAGAATTACAAGGAGCGCTTCATCAAAAGTTTTGCTGAAGTCAAGATATATTATGTCCACAGCATTCCCATGGTCCACCAGGGAGAATACCCAAGCAAAAACTTAGATTAGTGTGGCAAGATTAGTTTTTGAGAATTTCATGCTGGCTTCTAAGTACTTACTCCAAAACTTCCACTATTTGCTCCCATGTAAATTATGCATAGAAACCAGAAAGACCAAGAACAGGTCATTTAATTTGGTTCCTTGAGTGATTAATTGTTCATTCACACAAACTGTCCCCTCCCCCCAGTCTCCCTGTTGGTGCCACAGTGTATTTCCTACCTTCTTTCCTGTATGGCTGCTAAGGTGGTCTTCAGGAATTGAGCAGGGAGACTGCAGGGTGGTTCATGTCAAAAGCTTCTCAACTTTGGAATATTCCTGGACTGAGTATGGTACATGCCTGATATAGGTGAATGCACTGATGACCACTTGAAGAATCACAGTTGCAGGTAAGTAACTTGTCCATATATGATGGCAGAATTCCTACATAGGCTTTTCTCTTTGTCAAATTGAGGGAAAATACTCTGTATTTGGTTTTCTATTTTTGAGACGGGGTGCATTTCACAGTTGTTGTACATAAAAAGCATTCTCTTGTGGATCTACGAGATGATGGAAAAAGTACAATATTTTGTATCTCCTTTTCAATTTACCCAGTCTATTCTATACAGTTCCTTTTATCCTCCAATGAAGTTGGGTTTAATTCTGCATTTTACTCTGAAAAAGACCACTAGTGTGTTTTTGTCTTTTGCCTGTAAGGCCAAGGACATCGTAAAAATAGGATGATAAAATACAGTAGCTTGATGGATGAAATGTATTAATAGGTGTAGATGTATATGAAATCTATAGTAGGTATGCTTACTTGCATATAGCATATTTCCAAAGTGACAATGGATTTTTTTTGTAGATTTGTCAATAAATACTCTGTCAGGTTATTATCTAAACTTTTTTTTAAAAAAATTATTTTATTTCCAGAGTATGTTTAATTCTAACCGTCAGAAGATACAAGAAAGAACAGAAATCTTAAATCAAGAATGGAAACAACGCAGGATACAACCTGTACACATCATGACTTCTGTGAGCTCATTGCGTGGGACCAGGGAGGTTGGTTAATATGATGTGTTGTAGAAGTCCAGTTGCAAAGTTGTTAACACGTCTTTGTTTTACTGGAGGAAAGTTGGTCAGGGTTGTTCTGAGTAACAGCAACATATTGCATTCTGTTTATGAGCAGGAGAATAGTCCCTATTGGAAGTGTCTTCCTTGGATAAGGAGAGGCTTGTTTAACTGAAGTTTTGTTCAAGGGAAGAACTGATCTATAATCTCTGAAATTAACTGTTGTTTTTTGGTCACAGATGGTGGCATAATGAATTTTTTGACAGATTTAAAATAGCTACGTATTTCCATGTTTAGGCCTATGAAAATTCCTGTTTTTAAAAAGGCCTTTATTTTGACCTCTGTCACAAATCCATGTTTCCACAAATAGGGTGAGATACATTTTTCCTCTTTCTTGTGCACCTACAATCTCGGGAAAGGATGGAAAAGGTGAAGACCACAGAAAATTGTCAGAGTCATACTTCAAAATTAAAGGATCTTGCTCTGAAGGGTCACCCACTTTCACAAGAAATGATCATTTTACAGAAAATCTGAACTAAAAATTGAGAAGGCAGCAAACCAGTGATAGCTGCTGCAATATGCTGCTTGGTCACTTTGAAGAGGGTTATCATTTTAGTGAGCTCAAAAACTTGTTTCTGAAAAGGGAAATAGGCTGCAGGAACTGCAAAAGAGGTTGACCCTAGGGAGGCTGAACCAGTGATGGGTGCACCAAAGTGGCACTTGGCGGAGCTGAGTTACATGTTGTAGTCTGTTTAGCTAAATTAATCTGATTCGAAGGAGGAGGAGAAGGGACAGAGTTGGACAAAAGATTTTGCAGTTTCAAGGTTGCCTAGTAAAGAGGCAGTGTGTAAGAACCAGCCCACCTTGGAAAAGGAGGAGGACATTTCAGAGCTGGGGAGGAAGAGATGGAGGAGTTCCTTGATCCTGTCAGGAGATGACAGGCAAAGCAAGTTGACATCTGATGTTCCTTCCATATAGCCCTCAAACAGCAGGAGGCATCTTGAATCAGAATCTTTCTGAAGAGGAGGGAAGGAAGGGATTCACCAATTTGGATTCAACTTATTACATGGACAGATGCTTCTCCCACATCTCATAGAGAAGGCTTTGATTTACACTGTACTGTAACTTGTTAAGCTCTAACAAAAAGACTGTGCTTGCTATACTTCTTGTCTTGCTGGAGAGGAAAAGAGGAAGACCTGTTCATGACAGGAGCATTGTCACTAGTGGAGGCCTGGGTGAGCTTAGTGAGAGTACCATGGAATTTCATGCCTCTTACTGAGTAGCTTGCTTACTCCCTCCTTGTATCCTTGATGAAGGTGGTTGTCCATGTTCAGACAATAGGGCAACAATCATGGGTCAAACAACCTTTAGAACAACCCGTGGATTGTCAGGGTCACCTGTTGCTCCTAAACATCTTTAGTTGTCCAGGTTCACATGACATGACAGCCCACTGTGGCTAGTTTCCTATGATGGATTGCTGTGCTGTAGAAAGCCAGTACCCTTTTGTGTGAGAGAGAACCCTGTAAGGAATGACCCAATCTGAGTAGTAATGAAAGGAAGAATCATTGAATATTGAATAATTCTTAAATGTGTTAACATTTGTAATTTAATGAATGCTGTACAACATGGACCCCTGAAAACTCATACCTTAATTTGTTGAACAAGTTTTGTGCTGCTCTCCCTGTCAAAAAACAATTTTCTACAAGTAGTATGATTTTATTTCTTCTCTCAGTGTTCTGTCACCAGTGACTTGGATTTTCCAAAACAAGTAATCCCTCTTAAGACTTTGAATGCTGTTGCCTCAGTACCCATAATGTATTCTTGGTCTCCCCTTCAGCAAAATTTCATGGTAAGTGGCATATGGATCTTAACAATGGAGGTATGTTCCAACAGTTACAATGGAAATTCTTCCCAAGCAAGTGGGTATAAAGTTGCAGCCTAACTTACCAAAATAGGAACCAAATGAATGCTTTTTGCATGCCTTCAGCTGAATAATGCTTGCTTCCAGTTTTTCAGTGTGCTGTAACTTTGACATTTCTACCATGTGTCTGATGGATATAAGTAGCTCAGAAAACTTAATGACATGATGGCTTATAAGATTAATTGATATTATTTTTGAGTGCAAATACACAAATTTGCGGAAAGCATCTGAATTCATTTATCCTATGGACAGATTTTTCAGGCTCATGCTGGCATGATGATATACGAGTATGTATAAATCACTCCGGAGAATGCTGGATTTGGAAAGATTTAAAAAACTTAATCAAATTTTTAAGAAACAAGAATTGTAGGAAATGTTAGCAACTGAATATTGTGCTGGATCTAAGCTCTTCTGTTCCCATAGTATACACCCGTAACAGGTGAAAAGATATGTCAGCACTCCCTCTGGTGTTTTTAATTTCTCCCTCATTGAAACTACTGGGAAGGAAATTTAAAGGAAACAATGTATGGAAAAGAAAAATACCTACCCACTTCTGCTTTGCTGATACGAGCCTAGCAAAGCAACTTGCCATTGTTGATCTTTTCTGACCCTCCCCATCTCACCAATTTTAGTGTGGGAGAGAAGTATCCATTTACTTTGTGCCATTTAATTTGATGGGTTTAGCAGTACTTAACTTGGACTGAAACATCACCTTGATTAACATTATTCGTATTACTATTTATATGCTATTTTTCTTATAAAAATATAGAAGTACCTGGTCCTTCAAGATAATGGCTTATAGTGTTGGATGTAAAGGTAGTGATGTGGGGAATCTTCATTTCCTTGCATTAGGAAAAGAGTTTCCATTCACATACCCATCACAGCTGCAACCACACAGTGGTGGTTTGGTTTGGTTTTATTTTTTGAGTTAACATGGAACATAGTATGGTTGGAATGGAGACTAGGAGCCTCTTGTGGAAGCGGACTTTCCATCAGCTTCTCAGGTGGTAACTTCTCATCATTAAATTGGTTTTAAAAGTGGGTAGAGGACATCTCTATTCTACAAGATGTGCATGCCAGGTAGCTTAAGGAATACCTGCTCCCAAATCAGCTTGCTCTCCAGGTGCCTTCACCTTAGCATTATAAATTGTGTCATTTTGTCTGCAATTTACCCTGGAAACTGGCATTGAAGGTGATACAAAAATTCACAAATAGAGTTGGGTTGTGGCTTGAGCAGCTGTAGTGCAAGCTATTGTTTTTAATGCAGTAACCTGGTTTTCATATAACTCTAACCCATGGTTTGTTCAGTTCATGGTTTCTTGCCTTACCCAGGGTTTGTCTACTAGATGACAAATTTTGTTTCCTTTTTTTTAATCCTTCACACATATGGAGGAGTATGTTGTATGATGTTGTGGTTTAAGTGTAAGTGCTTTTGAGGTCTTAGTTTTTGGTTGTTCTATTTAGCTTTACAATACCATGCAAATGGTAGAACAGTGTACTCAAAATACCTACCTTCTGTTTGTGGAAGAGAAATTTTGCATTTGTCCTATCTCTTATCCACATTTTTAGGTAGAGGATGAGACTGTTTTGCATAACATTCCTTATATGGGAGATGAAGTTCTTGACCAGGATGGAACATTTATTGAAGAACTAATAAAAAACTATGATGGAAAGGTGCATGGAGACAGAGGTGGGTTACATTGTGTTTATTTTTAGGTTAATCACTATTCGTGATTAGTTTTGCCAGTGTTGGTCAACTGATACTTGTTTATTCAATGATATCATTGATATTATTTGGAAAAAAACAATTGTACTAAATCACATGCTTTTCATTCTTCATGAAACAAGATGATTGTATTTTTGTATCTTGACTGGCTTTTCAGATAGTTCTGTCTAGAGAATGTAGGAATATAATTATGTATTATTTTCCTGCTGCTGTGTTATATAGAAGCTGCTACTTTTACAATGCAATCTTATATATGTCAACTCAGAAGTAGTCAGTGAGTTTTACTACCAGGAAATTAGGTATAGGATAGGGGCCTTAAATGCTTCATCTGTTAGCTGCTTTGGGTTATCTGTGATAAGAGAAAACATTGAGAAATGTGATATATCTATATTTACTTATCTATAATTGTTAACAATTGAATGGACCTGGCTTCCCAGTGGTTGGAGTAGCCCTTAGTTTAATACACTGAAGGCTTGAAGCAAAGTTATGTAATTGTCAAAACAGGACACATTACATTCATCCCATCTGAGTGAAGTCACATCCCTGAGTGAAGGGATCATTTTTCGAATTTTGGCAGTGACAAATGGATGAACAGACAGATGGAGACACATCATATTTCATTATTACAGTTAAGTAAAATTTATTAGCTCAAAAGTGACTTGGCTATCCAATGTAGTTTACAAGAACATTGTTTCCATTCATTTCTAAGTTGTTGTAGGCAAGTTGGTGGTATTGAACAGTATTGTGGAAGCATCTTAAGGAAAGGGAGTAAAAGTTTTTAGACCATTAACCTGTCCAGAATGTGGCAAATAAAAAAGAAAGGCTAAAAGCAAATTTTAAAAAATAGAATTCAAGGGTTTTACATTTTAAAAATTGTCCCCATCATTTTGTGTTTCTTTTGTTAATTTAATTAACAGCTGAGCAAAAGAGCAACTCTTTTGCTCAGTAGTGGATTATAGTTCAGTTATGTACAACTTCTTAGAAAAGACATGCCCCTTCAGTGTTTGCATATGCCTAATTTCAGAATGTGGATTTATCAATGATGAAATATTTGTGGAGCTGGTCAATGCTCTTGGTCAGTATAGCGATGATGATGATGATGATGACGACGATGATGACGATGATGATGACAATCTTGATGGGAGAGATGAAAAGCAGAAAAATCGGGAGACCAGCAGAATAGGTATGTCTTTTGTATAGTTTGTTTTTTCTAGAGATGTCCTGGTGTGGGAATGAATTTTGACATGACTTTTCACTATTTTATCATCACATACAGTGATTATGTGTGTTTGCATTTAACTTTAATAATGGGTAGAAATTTATGGTTACTGCTAATTCAATTAAAAAGTACTGAAAAGTGGATACAGGCTCTATATCAGTCTCTCTATATCAGGAATTTCCAACATGTTTGGGAACATTTGGCATTTTGAAAAAAAAAAAAGTGTTCAGGATACCATCCCAAATTGACTGCTATAGGAGGATGAAGGCCAATCAAAATATTTTAAGAGCATTCCTTTATGTGTTTGGTTCTCATTCGTTCTCTCTCTCTCTCTCTCTCTCTCTCTCTCTCTCTCTCTTCTTCCTCTTGGCTCTTGAATACTGGGAGCTGAAGTCTAAAACATTTATTGTCTGCCCATTTTTGAAATAAAGTACAAATATTTTCATTTTAAAAGGTAACTTAAGAGCTTGTGTGTTGAACCAATGTGAATCAGCAACCTCTGGAGCAGCTCATACTCCCTCATGGTTGCACTACAGTCAGAAAGCTTCCTATGGATGTTGTAGCCAAGATTAAGGGCAGCTGTGAAGGATCCATGTCTTTTTATAGCTGTCATTTTGTATCAGTATATTGAACACTGATATGATATATAAAACTGTTATGTGCTTTGACCCTGCTAGGTAGAATAGGATGTAAGTCGTAATCAGTTGTGTTAATTGGTTTTAATGTGTTCACAGATACGCAGTCAGTTGTTGCTGAATAACCAAATAGCAGTTTTCCCTGTTTTCCTTGGCCATGTTAGTTCTGATATCTTCAATTCAGTCTGCCTCCATGCAGTGCAAAGTAGCATAACATTTTGGAACATTCCTTGCATGTCACTGTTAGCATTATATATGCTAATGTAGACAAATATATATTGAAGTGAACAACTTTTGGTCTGCCATCCACCTGCACATTCTTCAGAGGCTGTCTGTCAGAGTTTGCCCAAATCCTCCCCCCTCCATTATCTCTTCCATCTTAAGGCATTGTGATTGTGCTGAGAAAGTTTCTTTCTCCTGACTTCTTAACTTGCTTGGCCTTCTGACACACAGTGAAACAGCTGTTTGGCTGTTTTTCTGAATATTCTTGGAAACTGCAGTGCAAGAGCCTGATCCTTGCATCCTCTTCCCCAGAATAATCTCTCCCAGTGTACTCAGTGATGCTAGAGAGCCAGTGTAGTATAGAGGGAGGAATGGTTAGATTAAGATTGCGGAGACCCAAGTTCAAATCTGCATTTTGGGCCATCCGCTAGCTCTCAGCCCAACCAACCTCACAGGAATGTTGGGCAGATAAAATGGGAGGACTACAAATAGGAGGAGGATCCTCTGTGTCCCTGAAGGAAAGAGAGATATAAATGGAATTGAATGAATGAAATGAATGCTGGTAATGGCGGGAAACAAAAATCCCAGTTGGGATTGTGGAGGTTGGGGTGCAGAAGAGACTTTATTCTCCTCTCCCCTCCACCACAATAATCACAATGAAATAGGAATTTTAATCTGGATCCCAACCTCTCTCTGTGTGTGCATCTGTGTTTTAATGTATACAGAGCTGGCAGCCTTCAAGGCCAAGGATAATGAAAAAGTTTCTCACTTCTGTCAAAGTGAGCATAAATGAAAGAAATAAGAAAGTTTGAACACTATTTTTCCTCTATAAGAAACGCAGATTATTTTGTTGTGTGCTTTCATTCTTGTCTTTCTTATGGAATGGTCTAGCTGAAATGGAAAGAATTATACACACTCAGACAGTGTTTTCTACTTCCTGGGAAAACATTAATGTTATATTGCTTATGAACACTGTTATCAGAAGCACTTGGTTGAATATTTTTGTTTATTTAGAAAGGATGAGAGGTCAGTGTAGAACTTTGTACCTAATGCATCCTTCTAGTTTGCCTGCCTGCCTGCCTCACAGAAACAGCAAGTGTAAAGATTCTTAAAAGACTAGAAATGTCTTCATTGTCTGTGTTTCTATGTAAAAGAGAGCCATCCTCCTCGGAAGTTTCCTTCTGACAAGATATTTGAAGCCATTTCCTCAATGTTTCCAGATAAAGGTACAGCAGAGGAACTGAAAGAAAAGTAAGAAGTTATTTTTTAAACTACATAATACATTTCCATTTCTTGAGAAACACTATATCAGGTTTGCACAAGCACAGTCAACTGGGGGCTTGCAAGAGTTCTGCCTGTTTAAATAAGGACTGTCAGTTTCCTTGATAGAAAAATATGGCCAGTTGGCTACACTTGGACTGCTAGTTCATAGGTTGTGCCCATTGCAAGGCCTACCTTGTTGAAATTGGTTGTTGGAGAGCATGCAGCTGGAGATTGCCAAAATGGTTGTAACTATAGGCTAAAGTAGTAAAGAATAGTTTGAAGTCAGATAGTTTGAAAATTTATAATGGAATTGACATAATCTGACTCTGGTGACGAGACACATTCGATTTGCTATCCATTTGCTTTATATCTTGTGCTCTATTTTCACTCTGTTTCAGATTATGACAGCAACTCTAGCAGGATTTGCAAATTCAAATGTTTTGCAGCAGCCTTGGTATTAAATTTGTTTTCCAAATGCATGGTCAAATTACTAGTTCTTGTACATGGATTTACCCTTTCATAATTGAGAGATGGTTTGAGGCATGAGGCATTGATAGAAAAGTTTTGTGTTGAGTTTTTTCAAGTATGATCTGCCATGAAAGCAGCTGTGCCCTGGGCTAGGATATTTATTTTCCTTGATGTACTAAATATAGAATGAATTACTGCAAACAGAGTATGATCCAGTAAAGTTCATTTAAAATCTTGTTGATTTCAACTGGAGAACAGTGCAATTTTTTAACTCCTGCCCATTGAAACGGATAAGATTCAGTCTAGGACATGCTCATGGCTTGTGCTAAAACAATTTAAATGCCTTTCTGATTCAAGGAATGCCCTCCTTTTTCTTACAGCATTCATTAGAGCCTGATAAAATAATTGCCACTGTATGGCAAAAACAATATCATACATGGTAAATAATGACTTTAGTTAGACAGGAAAGTTTAAGAATAAATGAGTTTCATTTGTTTATGTACACTTTGTTTAGCTTAGATTTGAAATACAAAAACTGCAGCGCACAGCTAGCATGCAGTTTCTGGTGTTCTGCCAGACCTTCCTTTATCTGCTGCTACAGCATTAGCACTACCTGGAGCTTCTTGTGCTAGCTGTAGCAAGAGAAACCCTTCCCATATTCTAATCTCCAATCAACTATCTCTGGTAGCCTATATTTCCTATCTTTGATGAGCAGTTGGAGATAAAGGATTCCTTTGCTTACATCAGAGAATAAATTCCAAGGCTTGTGTGTGGCCGTCTGATCCTGCGTGGTGTGGCCTTTGTGGCCAGAAAACTTGGGCACCCCTGGTTTAAATGATTAATCCATACATTAACTGAAAGAACAGTAAAACTGGACTTTTGCAAATAAAATAGCAGCAGTTTCTACATTTTCTGTAGGTACAAAGAACTTACAGAACAGCAGCTTCCAGGAGCTCTCCCTCCTGAGTGCACACCAAACATTGATGGACCAAATGCCAGATCTGTTCAGAGGGAGCAGAGTCTGCACTCCTTTCATACTCTCTTCTGTAGACGATGTTTCAAATATGATTGCTTCTTACATCGTAAGTATAAAAATAACTTGTTGGTATTAAAATAATGTTGGAGTTTTTAAGTCTTTAGTAGTTTACATGCATTATTAAAACATGGCTTAATCCTACGTGTATAAATTGTGTTCCCCATTCCTCTTTCTTCCTCTCATGGCCAAGAAAGGAACTTAAGCAGTGTTTAGTTTCAGTTTCCATTGATCCTGGCTTACAAGAAGAAAATGTGGTTTAAAACAAACTGGCCATTCTCTAAACTAGCCAGTATTAAACAATGGGTTGTGAAGCTCTCTTTGCCCATCACAGCAGTTGTCTCTCCCTGCAGTGTTCTTTCAACTTCCAAGGATCTTGTCCTGATCCAAAGGCAGTCAAAGCTGGAACATTTCTGTTAGAAAAGAAGAAGCAGATACCATAGGCATCTAAGGTAGACTCTGCAATTGCTGTGCATAGACACAAACAGCAATTGATCAGGTGTCAGGTATGAGCAATTTTATCTATAAACGGCTAGGCAAATGATATACACTTTCATGATGATTGAACTTGGAATAGTGCTGTTGGAAAGTCCTACTGGTAGTAGTAAAGGAGTACATTTCCTTCACTTCTATCACCACTAAAAGATCAACTCTAAAAATAATCTGTAGCCCATTGTTAGCAAGATATCTTCATCTACAAAATTATGGATATGCACACATGCACACAAAGTACACTTGGATTTTCAAGTAAAAATTATGACGTTGCAGTATTCACTGGGGCATTTGGGAGGGAAAAAGAAAAAAAACAGTCATATTTTAGAGTACTGAAATACATAGTTGGTTACAAGTATATAATTATTGGGGTCTCATGACATGGCAACCCAGTGTGGTTACCTAGTCATTGTGGGTTTTGTGTAAATCTGCACCACTTCCTGCAGGGTGGTCTGTTTTGGGGCAGCAAGCCACCCTGCAAACCCATGGCTTATTGTAGGGTTGTTGGATCCATAAAGAGGTGTTGTGTCATTGGGTGACAGACTCTTTGTGTCACCAGGGAAGTGGTGATGAGCTGCTCAGCAAGAACCCATTGCATCTCTTGACACCCTCTTTTGTACCACTACTAGCTGGTCCACTAGGTACTAAAACAGCACTTTAAAACAAGCATCATGAACTTGCTCTCTCCTTGCTGCAAGTGTGAGGACTTTTACCTTTGCCATGGTCCCATCCCCCCACTTTTCCCCTTTTTTCCGAAAATGGCTTTGATCACCAGAGTGCTCAAGTGACTTGGTGGAGGGGCTGCCAGTTGCTTGCCACATTTTTTTCAAATAATTTTAAAAATGTAGCTAAGTATGTACATACGTTTTTGCTTCTTTTGTGGGGGAAGCTGGTTTTCTTGACTTCTGCAAGTTTGCAAACATCAAATTGCTGAATTCAAAATTTGGAATTGCTGAAATGAGGAGGCTTGCCTGTGCAATTCTCAGTAAGTACCTGCTGTCAAAGTGTAGCAGGTATCAACCATGGACAGTGACCAAGAGAAGCTGTAAACAGGTTATTTTGTTACTTTCCATTTATTTGACTACTGTCAAATGGAAAGCTGTGAAGAGGAAGCAAAGCTAAAAAGAGATGGTGACTTGCATTGATTCTCAGGATTTTTAGTGTGTTACCCATAGTTCCCAATGCCCCCACCTTTTCCTCACTTTCTTGAGTGTTCATCTACTGAGCAGTTTAATGCTTATCAGGCCACCCCCTTTTTGAAAGCACTTACTTTGACAGCTGTCAAAAGAACAGTTTAAAAAAACACCTCTATGGAAGATCTTTTTTCTTCTTCATATTCTTTTTTCAACATGAAATATATGTAGATTAATAGCTGCATATCTTCCTGTACAAAACAAAACACAAAAACAATGCAGAGATCTACCAGTGTTTGAAAAAGAAAAGCCTTTCTTTAAAAAATAGGTGGGCAAACCATTGATAGTCCCTCCATTGTGCCACTTGGTAGCTGTTGGTGGCTGCCAGTTAAGTGATAGCAAAAAGTGATCTCTGGAAAAAAGCAGTGGGGAGGCTGTGGTGAGTGCAGTGGGGAGCAGACAAGGCAACTTCAGTGACCCATTACTTGGGGCCCAAGACTCACTCTGAACCTGTCATCTGTGTAGCTTATCTGCAGGGTATGTTGTCATGTGAATACACCAAAATAACAAGCATGTGGACAGCATTTAAATAGTCTAGGAGTTATTTGGATAATTATATAGAGAACAGTAGGGTCGTGACAGATCTCACAAATTTTAATTTCAATCTGTTTAAAATCCTACTGAATTTTAAAATTAATTTTAAATTTAATTTTAAATCTTTTTACTGCTAAGTTTTACACTAGTTTTTACTTCCATTTTATACTGTCGTTTTAACTGTTTAAATATTTACACAGTACTTTATGTTTTACATCTTTGCAGACTGCCCAGAGAGCTTTGGCTATTGGGTGGTAAAAAAATAAAATAAATGTTATGGAAAAGAAGCAGAGCAGGGGAGCCTTATGCATAATCAGAAGAGGTTGATAGGAGCAAAATAGGCATGTGACAGGCTTAATACAGTTGAACATTGACTCATAGAGTCAGGGATACATGAGTAGGCAGGAGAAGGAATAAACAGGATTAGAGGGGGGTGGAGAGAGGCTGTGTTCACCCATAACACTAAAACCATGCCATGTGGTTACTGCATGGTGCTATTTCTTACCTGGTTTTTTTTGGGGGAGGTCAGCTGCTAACGTGATTTTTACCACCCCCCATCATTCCTCCTAATGGCACCTAGTATCCTTTCAGCCCCAGAGTCTGAAAATTCCAGGGTGCACTGTTCCTGCCTACATTGCCTGCCTCACCTCATTGGTCCACACATTGCCTTGGGCATGTCTGGAGCCAGCTGCTCTTGTTTTTCCCCCTTTTGTTGCTGAATGAAAGCACTCATTGGAGTAGCACTGTTACTCCTGGGTAGCACTAGAGTAATACTCTGCTTTATATGGGCACAGCTGTAGCGCTGCAGGGCACATGCATCGGCAGAACAGACCATTAGTATCAGTAACACCTGGTACACTTCCCTCTGACACAGCCCCCCTTTCCCTGCACCCAAGTCTCCATGATGCTGCAGAAATAAAGATAGGCTTCACAATAGGGATGTGGTTCTTGTGGGGAAAGCTCTCTGTGGAGACGGATTAGGGGAGCACAGGATGAAGCCATTCACAGCATGTCCTGGCATGGGGGAGGGGTGGGCACAAGTAGGGTGGGCTTCTAAGTGTCTAGGTGTGGGGCACTGGGCAAGGCTGGCTGTGACTATGGTATGAGAGGTGGTGGGGGAGGACTCAGTCTGCCTATACTGATGGACTTGATGTGTCTGACTGCAAAGGGGAGATGGGCCCTTTCAGCATGTGAGAGTCTTGTGCACAGGGGAATATAGACATGTCTCCAGAAAGACATTAATGTTAGTATATCATATCCTGTCATATTTAATTTCATTCAGGATTAATAACTAATAACTTCTAATTCTTCATCGTGGTCTCTGTGCATCACACATAATGGGTACTGTGCCTGCGCAGTGCCTTTGCCGGCCAGAATACCTAAGCTGCAACAGTTTTTTGGCGGGAACTCCGCACCCCTCCCCCCTGGTGCTATATAAGGTGGAGCGCCCGCCATTTTCCTCAGTCTTCTTTCGACTGCCAATCGTATTTCCTCGAGCCATTAGCTTGTCTTCTTGTCCTTACTGGTTGTTTCTCTAATTGTTTTCCAGTTCAATCCAAGTTATTTCCCCTTATTTCCCGGTTACTTCTTTCCTCCTTACTTTCCTTAAAAAAAAAAAAAGATCTATAGTTAGTATCTCTCTTTTCCTCTTACCTTTACTATTCCTCTTTCGATCTTTTCAATGGCTCAGCGCGTGGGTGTTTCAAAAGTGTTCAAAATGCGGGACTAAAATGTCCCCAGCGGACTCACACAAGCTCTACCTCCTCTGCTTAGGAGAGGGGCATCGCACCAACAAGTGTGGGCATTGCCGGGCCTTCACCAAACAGGGCAGGAAGAACCGCGAGAATAGGCTGAGGAAGATCCTTTGGGATCAGGCCCTACTAGCCTCTGATGAGCTCGCCGCTTAGCCTATGTCAGCCAGCCCTTCCATGGTGACCTCCCCCTGACCATCCGGGGGAGTTGCTTCCAAGGAGACCTCTCGCTCCTCCCACTCCTTACTCAAACAAAGGGAGAAGTGGAAGCATTCCAACCACGGGGATCCGTTGGTCTCGAAGAAGGCCAAAAAGGATAAGTCGGACAAGAATAGCAGAAAACATAGGCCTGCTCTGGAATCACGAAGGGATTCGGATTCGACCGCCTTGTCAGTCCAGACAGCACAATTGGTCCCGACACCCTCGGCACTGACACCGAGAGAGTTGATGCAGGTCACGTCGCCTGGATCCCCACAAAGGATCGAGCCTATGGTCCCAACTATGCTACATCCACCTGAACCAGTCGTTCATGGGTCGATGTCGGATGGAGAGATCCGTGACTCTCCTTCAAGGTATTTGCTGTGCCATCAACCGGCCCGCTCTCCAACTCCAATGCCATCCTCCCCGGAGGCTTGCAGGAGGACCACAGTGGTCAAACCCGACCAGCATCGCCGCTCATTGGGACAATTCGCCAGATCATGAAGGGCCAGAAGCCTCACAGCTTCAATATTGGGGATCACCCCCATACGGCTGCTACATGCCAAGGGAATACAGCTGTCAGTCCCGACAGACAAGGGCGGAAGCCCCTTCTACTTCGGCGCCAACGACCTCTCGCCATCTTCTCTGGCACAGTCATCCTCGAGTCCACCTTACCCATATGACTCGGAGTCTGAGGACTTGGACGATTGTTCCACATCTCCTGTGGCCGTCATTTCCACCCAGGGACCTGGGTCGCCTGAAGAGTCATACGCTACTTTCGGCAAGCTTATGGGCCACTTAACAAGAGCCTTGGAGATCGAGGTTGAGCACCAGCCCAATGTTAATAAAGACAATTTTTATGATATTGTCCGCAAGGAACA